CTCCTTGTTGTTTGGGTGGGTCCTTGTCAAAGTGGTCGTACCTGAGCAGGGGGAAAGAGGGGCGGAGAGAGACAGGAAGGCACAAGACGGGTGTGAGAAGCAGAAGCAGGAAAGGGGGACCAGTGGGAAGGTAGGTAGATAAAAGCCAGAGAGCCAGAGACAGACAGACAAGGGCATGGAGCGAAGAAATCACAGGATGCCAAGGCAAGGTGAGAAGAGAGAAAAGGGAGGCAGAGGGAAGTCAGTGAGATGACCTCCACAGAGCAGGGTTGTCTCCATAAGGCTATGACCACAGGGGGCTGTGACTTAGGCTTGTCCAGCCTTGATTAGACCTAACAGCATGGCCTTAAGCGTGAGATCTGGCCTTGGTGTCTCCTGGCTCGCTTTGGTAAGTTCCCTTCTTCACTTTGAACCCCAACAAACCCTTGGGACTCCAATAGGCAAGGGGGTGGCAGAGGTGACTCTTGGCCAGATTTCAGGTCTGCAAAGTGCCAGAATGGCCTCGGAGCCTTGGTCCTTGCTCCCCATCCCCCACCTCTTCTGCCGTCCATCCCAGCCGCCTCCAGGATCTCCGGGACACGAATGGCTCCCTCTCTCTCGTTCCCACTTGGGTTACTCCCAAACTCTTTCTATCAGCAGGATTGCTAACCTCATCCTGTGCCCCCCTCTCTTCTTCTCCCTGGCTCAGAAAAAGGCCTCCCTCCCTGCACACCCTGAGACACTCCATCTCTCAGCCTCAGCCAGGCTACGTGTTGGGGCAGTCCTTTTTTTTTTTTTTTTTATTTTAACCTTTATTTTTATTTTTATGCATATGGGTGTTCTGCCTGCATGTACATGTATGTTTATGCACCACATGCATACAGTGCCCACAGAGGCCAGAAGAGTGTGTTGGATTCCCAAGTACTGGAGTCAGACAGTTGTGAGCTGCCGTGTGGGTACGGGGAATAGAACCTGGGTCTTCTGGATGAGCAGCTATGGCTCTATGGCTCTTAACTGTTGAGTCATCTGTCCACCACCCACCAGCCTTTCTTCAAAGTCAAATCAGACCCTTCCTTCAAGTACACACACACACACACACACACACACACACACACACACACACACCTCCAGTCACTGGCCCCATGCTGGTTGGGCCAGTTCTCTGCTCAACACCTGACAATGCCCACAGTCCATCCTCACAGTCCTGGGTGTTGCCTTTCTACCTCACTATGAGTTCCACGACACCGCCTCTCTCCTCCTAGATAAGGGGAGAGGGTCTCGCAGGTGAAGTCCATGTACGGAGCCAGGCTCAGGCCTTCTATAATAACCCAAGGTGCCCAGAACATTTGAGTCCTTTAGTAAGGGAGAAGACAAGTGGCTGGCTGTAGTGTCTGACCACGAGAAACACCAACTCCTCATCCAAGCAAAGACACCTTTCTCCTCTCGTCCTGACTACAGGCTGTGTGACAGTTGATGGCCCTGAAGGGGCCTAAGTGACGTAGTGGAGTGTCTTTCGTACACCCACTGTGCAGGAGGAGTCCTCATGCCCATCACAGCCTGCCCGATCCTCAGCCCCAGGAGCCAGCTGGAAATGTTTTGTTAGCTTCCCCCTAAGTATTCCAGAAGAGTCTTCCAGCCTACAACAGACAGTTTGTTTTGCTTTTGTGTAGAAATGAAATCCCACTTCATGCTGCATTCAAACTTGCTGTTTAAAAAACATCCCTGCCCCTCAGAGACCCAGTCCACATGGTAGAGAGGGAGGGAACGGTCCTCTCTACTTCACAGACCCTGGCTGCTACCCTGCTGTTCTGCGGTCACCAGTCAGGTTTTTAGGACAGGCTGGTACAAACGTCAGGCTTCGCTGTTGTGAATTTCTTGCCCCTTTGAGAGCTCCCCCCCAACCCAGGGAGAAGGCACAGAGAAAACTAGGCTCTCTCCCCATTTCTCCCCACTTCCTCCTGCCTATCTGACTCCACTCTTTGTCCCCACCCCTTTATCACCCACAAAAGGCAAAGGGAGAAACTGTCTCCTGGAGCCAAATGGCCTCCCCTCCCCGCTTCTGGGTTCTGCCCAAAGCAGCCGGCAGCCAGGCAGTGGGGCCTTCCGGGACAACTCAGGCTGCAAGAGCAGGAGTCCGAGGTGGAATCCACAGCACCTGCCTGGTCAGCTGAAACTTCGCCTGCCCCCAGGAAGACAAAGCCAGTGCAGGGCTGAACTCCACCCACACCCCTTTCCGATCCAAGGTTCAGGGATCCGAGTCCCCAGCCTGCCCTCCTGGTTGCCTCCTCTGCTGAGCCATTATGAAGTAACAATAACAGCCTAGTCTTCTGCCTCCCTTCAGGGTTAGTAGCACTTCAGGCCTGGGTGTGTCCTGTGTTCTTGGACTTAGCAGAGGTCCATTTGTTCACGGTGTGCTTTCCTACTCTGTGTCTGGCAGTGGACCAGGCTCTAGGGTGGTGACAAGAGGGAAAAGAGCCAGCCAGTTCCTGAGCTCCAAGAGCAGAGTTCTTGGATGGATGGATGGATGGATGGATGGATGGATGGATGGATGGATGGATGGGGTGGATGGGTGGATGGGTGGATGGGTGGATGGATGGATGGGTAGATAGAGGGATGGATGGATGGATGATAGATGGGTGGGTGGGTGAATGGAGGGATGGAGGGATGGATGGATGGATGGATGGATGGGATGGATGGATGGGTGGATGGGATGAGATGGATGGGATAGATGGATGAATGAACAGGATGGTTAGATGAATGGGATAGTGTGGTAGTTTGAATGTAATTGACCCCATAAACTCACAGGGAGTGGCATCGTTAGAAGTAGCAGTTTTGTTGAAGTAGGTGTGGCCTTGTTGGAGGAAGTGTGTCACTGTGGGGATGGGCTTTGAGGTCTCCTATGCTCAAGCTATGCCCAGTGTCATAGTTCACTTCCTGTTGCCTAAGGATCAAGATGTAGAACTCTCAGCTCCTTCTCCAGCACCATGTCTGCCTGCATACTGCCATGTCCCACCATGATGATAATTGTCTGAACCTTTGAAACTATAAGCAGGCCACCCCAATTAAATGTTTTTCTTTATTAGAGTTGTCGTGGGGCTGGAGAGATGGCTCAGTGGTTAAGAGCACTGGCTGCTCTTCCAGAGGTCTTGAGTTCAATTCCCAGCAATCACATGGTGCCTCACAACCATCTATAGAGGGATCTGATGCCATCTTCTGGCATAAAGGTGTACAAGCAGATATAGCACTCATAATCATAAAAAAAAAAAATCTTTAGGGATTGGAGAGACAGCACAGTGGTTAAGAGCACTGGCTGTTCTTCCAGAGGACCTAGGTTCAATTCCCAGCACCCACATGCAGCTCACAACTGTCTGTAACTCCAGTTCCGGGGGATCTGACATTCTCACACCAATGCACATAAAATTTTTTTTAAAAATTGCCGTGATCATGGTATATCTTTATAGCAATAAGAAACCCTAAGACAGATGGGATGGATGGATGGATAGATGGATGGATGGATGGATGGACAGATGGATTAATGGATGTCTGCATCTGACCTTCCTAAAATCTCATTGCACCTCTGATCATTCATCAGTCGGATGGACAGAATAAATAAGTAAGCCCTGCTTTGTTTACTACCATGAGCACAGAAGGACTGTGAACAGAATTTTCTAACTCTGGCCTTTTTATCAAAATGCCCCTCACACTCACTAAGAATACAGATTCCTGAGTCAGAATGCCCCAGGAAAGGCCCAAAACCCAAGGATTTAAAATAGCTACTGGAGTGACTGGGTGACTGCGAAGCTGGAGGCAGATGATGCTCCCGATGTACTTTCTCCCACGTACTTGCTATCCCTGGCTGGAGCCCAGCTAGGTTTCCTGGTGGCTCTACCCAGCAGGTCTGCATAAAGAGGATGATTGGACCACGGGCCTGAGTATCAGGTGTTTGGAAGGGTCTGCACTTGGCTGTATTGAGCAAGGTGGAGGTCTTTGTTCCTCCCCTTGGCATTGTTATAAAAAGCCCTTTGGAATAAAGTTCAGGGCTGGTGGGTTCTGACGCAGGCCCTCCCGAGGCTGTCCTATATTTTCTGTCTTTCCTGTCGTCATCTAGGTATCTCTCTCTAGCTAATATTTCTCACTTCTCCTTACTCAAGAATACCCTGGGTCATAAAAGTGGCAGCTGGTCCACCACACTTGGGGGAGCCTTCCCAGAGCTGATCTGGCTCTGTAACACCTGCCTAAGACTCCTGTCCCCTTCGAAGCGGGCATCTTTGTCCCCAGTACCCAGAGCATAGATGCACACCCTCTCTGCCACCAACCCCAGCCCATACATCATCCCTGCCCGTATTCTCACAGCTCTGCACTTTGGGTGCCTAGAAGTGACTGCCAAGCTCTCCAACAACCCCATCTTAACCCAGAGAAGCTGGAGACCTGGACCACACGCCGTCAGGCTTCCAGGCCTGGCAGCTGGAGGCTCGGAAGCTCTTCCAGTTTCTTCTGTGCTTAGAGTATCCCGGGTCAGTTAGGCCATTCCATGTGGAGGCGTCATCAAGACCAAGGGAGATGAGGGAGTCCCTCACCTCCACCCACCCCCCAAAGCCTGGCTCTGCAGGTAGTATTTCTATCTTACCTGGTCGGTGGCCCAGCTCCATGGATTCTGGCTCTGAGACCCGCAGTTTCTGAGCTTGGCCCTGTAGACAAAGCAACACACACTGAGTGGTTTCAGGTGACAGTTTCCATAAAGGATAACAGCTGAGAACAGACCGGGGAGACCCCAGAGATCCAGCTATACGGCAGCCTGCCACTGCTGTTTCAGCATCCAGCACACCCCAGGTCCCTTAACCTCCTGCCAATCACCAATGCGTCTGGTTAGCCAGGGCCACCACCTGGACTTCCGTGGCCCTTCTCACAGAGCCACGTAACTGGGATTCTCTTACTCTTTCCTAATCTCCCATCTCTTCCTCCTCTCTTCCACCAGCTCCAGGAGGCCCTGGCTGTGGGACCACCGCCTCAACTCCCATTGTCATCTGTCATCACAAGAGGCACCTGCTTCTACATAAGCACTGCCATACAGTCCTTCACAGATGCTTGGATGAAGGGTTTGGGCTCCGGAGCTGCCTCTGTTTCTGCCACATGGCCTCTGCATCAGACAGCTTAAAACACGGCATCTTGAGGTGAGGGGAGCAGAAACCCAGGGGACCCATGAGTGTCTGGTAGAGCCTCACCCCAAGCCCATTTTACCCACGGGTTGTTCACCGAAGGGGAGGGACGTTCACTAGGAGATCCTGGAAAGGGACTCAGGACCCAAGAGTATCAGCTCTGCGTCTTTTGCACTTCTGTCCTTTTCTCCTAAGGGATCGTTTCCTTATTTCTATTCCCTTCCTTTGAGCACCTAGGGAGCTTTCCCCAAGTTTCTACGAAGGGAGTAATGTCGGGACAGAGACGTCTGGCCTGGTGGCATCTTCCAGGCAAGGGAGGAGCAGAACAGAAGCAGCAAGGGAGAGCCGGAGTGGCCTAATTTAATTTCTGTTGCTGTGACGAAACACCCTGACAAAGGCAATTAGGGGAAGAACGTTTCTTTGAGTCCACAAGTCCGTGCTACAGTCCATCCTCGCAGGAAAGAATCACGGCAGCAGGGGCTGAAAACAGCCACTCACATCCCGCCCACGGTCCAGAGCAGAGAGAGATGAATGCCCGTGTGCTTACTGCTCAGCTGGCTCACTTTCTCCACTGTTATGTGGTCCGGAACCCAAGCCCAGGGAATGGTACCGCCCACAGTGGGCAGGGCCCTCCCACAGCAATGAACATCATCAAGACCGTCTCCCACAGACACGCCCAAAGGCCAGCCCGAGCTAAAGAGCCTCTCTGAGATTCTCTGCCCAGGTGATTCTAGATATGTCAAGTTGACAAAATGAGCCATCGAAGGGGTCTCTGAAGGCTAAGGCAGAGAGAGAGAGAGAGAGAGAGAGAGAGAGAGAGAGAGAGAGAGAGAGACTGTGTCTGTCTGTCTCTGTCTCTGTCTCTCTGTCTGTGTTTGTGTGTGTGTAACTGGTCTAAGATCACCCAGCAAACTAATTGGCTGATAACCTCAAATCAGGCAGGAAACAGACCAATTTTATCCCCTTGCAAAGTTATTAGTCAAAACTCCTTACTAATTTTGACTAAATTACATGGGGTCAAGGCTCGGTTGGAGAACACTTGCCTAGAATGCATGAGGCCCGGGGTCAATCCTCAGCACCACAAAATAAAAATTATCATTTGTAATTGTGCATTTTCTGATATGATGAACCCTATCCCTAGGGCTCACAGGCCGGTCAGTCCTCGAGTATGGACTGGACCCAGCGACTTATTTCTTGATCAAAATGATGTGATGAAAGTGGAGTTTGTTTCTAATCCCGACACTTCCAGGGTTAGGTTCATGACAGTTGCCTTACTGGTACTCTCCCTGGCTCTCTCCAGCTGGCTTACTCTGACCTGCCATTCCTAAAGCCGACCCATGCAGAAGCCATGTGGAGGGACTGAGGCAGCCTCTGGCCAGCAGTTCCTGAGGACCACAGACCCCAGGTCCCAGTATCCTCAAAGAACCAAGTGAGCCCTGTCCCTGAAAGAACTTGGACCCTCTTCCAGCTGACCCTGAAAATGCAGTCCACGTAACACTTTACATCCATAGGACTGACCCACTGTGCAGCAGGCTGTGGCCATCAGTGGCCCCATGCTGCCCACTCTGTGTCTTCTCCTCTCACTTTCCATGTCTATGCTCTGGCCAGAAAACTTGCTGACTGGAATACCCTGCCCTCAGACAAAAGATGTCATCGGTGAGGAACGTCCCCCTGCTTCTGGTGCATGGCTGAGGCTCCTAGGCAACGTGTTCTGAATGCAGACAGTAACTGGACCACATACCCACAACGTCCTCTTCCCTGAAGCCCTGGAAGATGCTTCTTAAGACATTTCATGTCTGGCTTCTTCCAGGTCACTCAATAAGCCCACATTCTTTCTCCTCAACACACCTCTTCGACACGAGTTTTCCTACATGAGACCTTCCTAATTGGAGTCTTCATAGCCATAGAAACTGTGGGACCATAACTTGGGACCTCTGAAAACACTTTGGGGGAAAAAAAAAAAAACCTGGGACTTTTGAAAAAATTGAAGCCACTGTGCTTTCTTGGTGTGTTGTACGGCAATCTCTCACCAACATGCATTTTGATTCTAAGATCCAGGTGTTGCCAGGACAAACAAATGAGAATATTATGGAGACGTTCTAGACCAAGCGGTGAGTACACCCAGGAGGAGGTTGGGCTGCGTGGTATTAAAATCCTCCATTGCCCCCAGGCAATGGTGACACACGCCTTTAATCCCAGCACTTGGGAGGCAGAGCCAGACAGATCTCTGTGAATTCAAGGCCAGCCTGGGCTACAGAGTGAGTTCCAGGAAAGGCGCAAAGCTACAAAGAGAAATCCTGTCTCGAAAAAAAAAAAAAAATCATCCATTGCCTTAAGTCCCAGATGAGCAGGAACCAAGAAATGGATGCTGCTATCAAGGGCACACGGGGCAGGGAGGGACCATCAGGAGGATTTAGGGGAAGAGGTCCCTTGATAGACAGCGGCAGAAACTTGGTCACCGTTGCCTGCAGTGACATGGAGGAAGATGGTGAAGCCACAAGCCGAGGGGTGTGATAGACAAGCCAGCCATGCCTGGACTCGGTACAGCTTCATCCTTTCTGCCGCTTGTAGGGAAAGACCATGAAACACAAAGGAGCCAGGCTTTGACAATTCTCATACTTGGGCCAGCAAGATGGCTCAGCAGGTCAAGGAGCTTGCCAACAAACGTGATGAGCCGAGTTCAATCCCTGAACCCCACATGATGGAAGAAGTGAACGGATTCCCACAAGCTGTCCTCTGGCTTCCACATGTGCACCTTAGTGCACACATACATGATGTGTGTGTATGTGTATGTGTGTGTGTGCGTGTGCGCGCACGTACAATAAATAAAAGAAAATGATATTTCTTATAAAGAAAAATATACTTATTCTTTACACATGCCAAAAATGTTCAACTAAGAAACAGTTCTGGGGACTAGGGAGATGGTATAGTTGATAACATGCTTGCTATAAGCATGGGGGGCCTGAGTTCATACCCAGTGCTCATGTAAAATGCCAGGTGTGGTGGCACATGACTGTAATCCCAGAGTTGGGGAGGTGGAGATAGGGAGAGTCTTGGGGCTCCTGGGCCAGTTAGCCTAGTCTCCTTGGTGAGCTACCAGCCAGCAGGGGGGAAATGGGTGGCACCTGAGGTAAGGCTCCTGGAGGCTGACCTCTGGCTTCCACACATAGATGCATACACACACACATGCACACACGCACGCACGCACGCACGCACGCACGCGCGCGCGCACCCACACACAAGAAAAGGCTCAAAGAGCTTTCAGGAGAAGGCCAACAGTTGAATGTATAACCTGTTAACACTGTGGGAAGATAAGGAGATAAGAACATTTTTTAAGCTGTACAAAGGACTCTTTAAGGCAGTGTTTCTCAACCTGTGGGTCATGACCCCCCTTGAGGGCCAGACCCTTTCACAAGGGTCACCTAAGACTGTCCTGCATATCAGCTATTTACATTATGATTCATAACAGTAGCAAAATCACAGTCATGAAGTAGCAACAAAAATAATCTTATGTTTGAAGGTCACCATAGCATGGGGAACTGTATTAAAGGGTCACCGCATTAGGAAGGCTGAGAACCACTGGACGTGGGTGAAGGGCACACCTCACAGATGCTCTTCCCGTAGCTTCCTCGGATAAGCAAGAGAGAGCCTCTGTCCAGATTGACTCACGGGCTGCACGGTGTGTTACCAAACCGTCAGCAAAGCCCTGCCAGCCCGGAGCGGGAGGGATGCAGACTGTCTGGAATGAGCAGACATGACAGAGCAAAGGTTTAAGACAGCACTTAGCCTAAAAGTGAGTTCACAGTGCAGGACTGTGAGCCGGGGAAGCCATTCCCTGCTTTGAAGCCAGTTCAAGGACCATCCGATGTTTGTCTATGGGACTCAGCATCACTGGGGACCCATGACATTGTGCGTCTCCTCTGTCCTTGTCATTTCTGAACAGGAGCACCTGCAGAATCCCTTGTGCCTGGTACTTCCTGGAAGCTGGTGACTTCTGGAAGATTACTGGTGGTGGACTCTGTGAAGAGCCACACCGGAGCCCCACCCACGCCTGGACCCGATTCGCCCCTTCTCCAGTTCTCTGTCATCACCCCTCATCAGGTGAGCTGACAGAGATCTCAAGGCGTGTGTGTGTGTGTGTGTGTGTGTGTGTGTGTGTGTGTGTGTGTGTGTGTGTGTGTGTGTGTGACACGTGTTGCTGTGGACAGGCCCAAAGGCTCATCTCTGCTTCGAGGCATCGTTCACTCCCCTTGAAGCAGGCAGGACCTAGTGGTCTGTTCAAATCAGCAGACTGCGGTGGCAACTGAGGAATGTTCACCTCCATGTGGTGAAGGGCAGGCTTCTGTCTTTGTTCCCATGCTCTCTCAAGCTCTTCTTGCCTCCCTGGCTCTGACAGAGGCCAGTGACCACATAGAAAGGCATCGTGTAGAGAAGTTAGCCTCTGCCCAACAGTTTATGAGGAGCTCATTCTTCTATGTAAGAGGCCTTGGGAAAGGATCTTTGAAACCAAAGTCTCAGTCCATAACTGCAGCCGGGGAGAGACACTGAGACAGGACCCACCACTATATTGTGCCTATATTCCCAACCCACTGTGAGACCAGAAACACCAGCATTCTAAGATGCTAAATTAAATGCTGGGGTGGTTTGTTACACCCCAGCAAGAGCTGACTGCTACAACCCATATTAGCGCTCTGTGGTGGTTTGAATAGGAATGGCCCCCGTAGATTCATATCTTTGAACGCTTCCCCATTAGGGACTGGCTCTGCTTGACAGGAATTAGGAGGTGTGGCCTTGTTGGAATAGGTACGGCCTTGCTGGAGGAAGTGTGTCACTGAGGTGGACTTTGGGGTTTTAGAAACCCAAGACAGACCTAATATCTCTCCCTCTCTCTTTCTGTCTGTCTCTCTCTGTCTGTCTCTCTCTGTCTGTCTCTCTCTCTCTCTGTCTGTCTCTCTCTCTGTGTCTCTCTCTGTCTCTGTCTCTGTCTCTGTCTCTCTCTCTGCCTGCTGCTCTCAGCTCCAGATGTAGGACTCTCAGCTCCTCTCCAGCACCATGTCTGCCTGCATGCTGCCATGCTCCCTGTCATGATGGCAATGGACTAAACCTCTAAACTGTAAGCCAGGCCCCAGTTAAATGTTCTCCGTTGTAAGAGTTGCCATGATCGTGGTGTCTCTTCATAGCAATAAAACACTAAGACAGAAGTTGGTACTAGGGACCAGGTAGTGCCATATCATACCTGACCTTGCTGCTTTGTTGACAGAATGTGGACTTTGGGACTTTGGATTAGAAAAGCAGTTGAATGCTTTAAGTAGGGCTTAATGAGCCATCCTAGGAGGGGCGTGGAAGACAGTGTCGCTGAGGAAGAACAATATAGATTATGACAGCTCAATAGGTTTCAGAGAAAAAGAATATTAGCGCACGGCCTAGAGATTGTTCTTGTGATATTTTGGCAAAGAATGTGGCTGCTTATTGCCCTTGTCTGAAAAGTCTGCCTGAGGCTAAAGTGAAGAGTTTTAGATTATTGGTCTTGGCAGAGACTTCAAAACAGTCTAGTTTTGACTGTGTTTCATGGTTATTAGTGGCCAGTCTTAGGTAGAGCTACAATGAAAAGGAGCAGGCTGAGCAAGGGAAAATACAAAATGTACAGATTGAGGAAAAAAGGGGGCACCAGGAAGTGGAATGATGCTAAATCCTGTGCTCAAGGAGACAAACAGATTAAAGAAAAGCCTGATGCCAAATGGAATAAAGGGAGTGGGGACCTCCGGGCAAGACCCCATCCAGCTAAGCTTCCAACTTGTGAAAATAAGTTTAGGAGTGGGCATGGCGGCACACACTTTTAATCCCAGCACTTGGGGAGCAGAAACAGGTGGATCTCTGAGTTTTGAGGCCAGCCTGGTCTACAGAGTGAGTTCCAGGACAGCCAAGCCTAGACAAGTGAAGGAAATCATTGAAAACAGAAAGGGGACATGAATGTAATTAACGAGCAAGCCATGATCCAGTCCCAGCAAGCAGCAGAACTTGGCAGCTTTGGCCACGTGATTCTGGCTTTAGAGTCAAGGATAGAAGAAAGGGGTTATGGGATCTCCCTCCATGGCTAAGGAAAGCCACTGAAGCCAGATGTGTGTCAGGAGTGTCCCTGCATGGAGGCACAGAGAGGCCACTGCATGAAATGGGGAAGGTGGAGCCAGGAATGCCATGGAGACTCAAAGATGATGGAGACGCCAAAGTCATGGGATACCTGCCGAGGAGAGCTGCTAACAGGGAGTGGAACCAGCCCAGGAGAAAGAAGCGTGTTGCAGTCCACAAAGCTGAACAGAGTTGGAGATATGAACAACACTTTGACATCAGACATAGACATACAGAGTCTGGAGTTTGCCCAGCTGGTTTTTGTCCTTGCTTTGGTCCAGTATTTCCTCCCTATGCTTCCTTCCTTCCCTTCTGGAAGGA